GTGGGTCAGTACTGGAGGGTTCGTACCAGTCTGATTGTACCATCGGGTCGGTACCGGAGGGTCCGTAATGATCAGTCTGTACTGGCGGGGCTGTACCGGAGGGTCTGTACTGGTCCAGCTGTACCGGCGGGTCCGTACCGGTACCGGCAGGTGGTGCCGTTTCTCTCTCCCGTCCCGGCTCTCGGGCTGCCGGAGCCCGGCCCTGTGCACCGCCCAGTACAGCCCAGCACCGCCCAGTACCGCCCAGTACAGCCCAGGGCCGCCCAGCACCGCTCAGTACAACCCCGTCCCGCCCAGCGCAGTCCCGCACGGCCCCAGCACCCCCAGTGCGTCCCGGTCCCGCCCAGTGCATCCCAGTCCCGCCCAGAACAGCCCAGCATGGCCCAGCACAGCCCCAAGCCAGCGTCCCCGGTCCCCAGAGCCTGCCACAGTCCCCTGCCATGGAGGGCTCTGGTGTCCCCAGCTGGTGGCACTGGGGATGTTGGGGACACTCGGTCCCCTGCCATGGAGGGCTCTGGTGTCCCCAGCTGGTGGCACTGGGGATGTTGGGGCCACTCGGTCCCCTGCCATGGAGGGCTCTGGTGTCCCCAGCTGGTGGCACTGGGGATGTTGGGGACACTCGGTCCCCTGCCATGGAGGGCTCTGGTGTCCCCAGCTGGTGGCACTGGGGACATTGTCACCAGCCCAGGGGTGCTCCCTCCTCACCGGGGAGCTTGGGGACAGGGAGGGCCCCAAGGGACGGGTCCTGGTCCCCCAGCCATGCCATGCTGGGGGTCCCAGTACCTCCTGTTTGAGAGGTACCCACCCCCCCCCCCGTGTGATGGGAAGGGGCTGAGAACCGAGTCCCTGCCACTCCCTGTGACACCCACAGTGTCACCCGTGGGGGCCGCAGCCCCCACTCGTGACCAGGGCATTAATTAGCAGTAGAGGTGACGAGCCTGGCTTGTTCCCGGCTCCAATGGTTGTTTCAAGGTCAAGCGCTGGAGAGAAAACAGGGAAGAGTGAGGAAAAGCCACCAGACATGCGGCTGTGCCAGACTCTGGGGGGGGGGCTGCTGCCTGCCTGGGTGCTGCCTGCACCCAACTGTCCCTGCTGAGCCCTGCCTGCACCCTGAGATCAGGCAGGGATGTCCCCATGGGGACAAGGATTCTGAGAGGGTCCCTTCGGGGTCCTGTGGCCACCCAGGCTGGGTGGGAGCTCAGGGCAACCCCAGGGGCCCTCGGGGACACCCGTCCGGGGGACCTCCATGAGACCCGGGGGGGTCCCCAGAGATCCCTTTCAGGGACATCCAAGTGCTCTCCAGAGACCCCCAGGGACACCAATGGGATGACTTCAGAGACCTTCAAGGACCCCCAAGAGACCATTAGGACCTCCAGTTACACTCCAGAGACCTCCAGGGACCCTCAAAGATCTTGCTGGGACAGGTAAGGGTGGCCAGGCTGGGGACAGGGGACGGGATGACGGGCGATGCTCCGTCCCTCCAGGGACCCTTGACCCAGGGGTGGGCTGCAAAGCGCCTCGATGCCACGGTGAAGGTTGCTAGAGCTGGGGGTGGGGAGCAGCCACCCACGTCCCAGGACCCCCTTCCCACCCCACAGCCGTGTCGGTGGCACCCCCACCAGCTTTTCCTTTAATTACGATCATTGGCTGGCGTTAATTATTGAAACTCGCCACACAGTGCACTCCGCTGTAATTGTGTTCAAATTAAATTAGGGCAGCCCTATAATTAGCTCCCCAGGAGCAAGGCGGTCAGCGGGGATGGGGTCCCTGCCAGCGGTCCTCGCCAACACTGACCCCCCCCATCATGGTAATTGATCAACAGTGCTGGGGACAGTGGCAGTGCCATGCAGATGCCCATGGGTGGCATTTGCCAGTGTCCCCACAGACACACGGTGGCAAGGGGACAGGGGACCAAGCTCAGCACCACCATGGGATTGGGATGCCCATGAGCTCGGGGGGGGGGGGGCATGGGCACAGCCCCCACCGCAGAAGCAAGCGGCGCACCACCATGCACACGGGTGCGGGGGGCAGCGGGAAGCCCATGGGACCCTTCTGGGGGTGCTGCTGGCCCCCCCCACCTCGCCTGGCTCAGGTCATGGGGCTGGGGTGCAGGGTTGGGTTTGGGTCAGGGTTGAAGTCAGAGCTGGGGTTCAGGATTGGCACCCAGGGTTGGGGTCCAGGATTGGGATGTGGGGCTGAGGGCCGTGACTGGGACTTGGGGTTCAAGTTCAGGGCCAGGGGTCACATTTGGGACTTGGGGTTGAGGTCTGGGTTTGGGATCTGGCTTTGGGGGGTCCATGGATGGGACCCGAGGTTGGGGTCCTGGGTTGATGACCACATTTGGGACCCAGGGTGCAGGTCCACGGTTGGGACCTGGGGTTGAGGTTCAGGGCCAGAGCCTGTATTTGGGACCGAGGGTTGAGGTCCAGGGTTGGGGTCCCAGCTCGGGACCTGGGGCTGCAGGAGGGGCTTGGATCAGCCTCTGCACCATCGCTGCCATCTCAGGGGCTGCCCCCCATCTCTCTCCCCCCACTCCATCCAGACACCTCATCCACCCTCCCTGGCCGGTGCTCAGGACTCACCGGGGCAGGATAAGCTGTCCCCGCTCCTCGGATGGAGTTGAGGCCCGGGGACTGCAGCCCCCCATGGAGGAACCCCCCCCTTACCATGGCAGGGAGGGGATGCCCGTGCCTGGAGCATCTCCCCCATCCCAGGTGATCCCAGCCTTGGGGTGCAGTTTAGGTCTCTGGGGACAAGGTGAACCAGGGGTGGGGGGGGTTGGGGTGACACCAGCATGGAGGGGACCCCCCCACAGCAGGGAGAGGCCACGGTGCGACGCTTGACTACTTTTATTGGGCCTCCGAAGCTTTAAATACAGGCCGGGGGGGCGGCGCTGGCTGCGGGCAGGACAGAGGGGGGCAAATTCAGCTGTCAGTCGGACCAAGGCGGGGGGGGCCGGGGCCGTCCCCCCTCCC